CGTCAAAGCGGCATTCGACAACGTCCTTCCAAACGTTCTCCTGACCGAGCTAGAAACAATGCGGATTCCTCCCAACGTTACTCAATTCATCGACAATCTTGTTTCCTGAAGAAAAATTCAGTTCGTCTATCAAGATCAACTCACGTCCATCTATATATTAAGGAAGGGCACCCCGCAAGGCTCAGTGCTTAGCCCCACTCTATTTAATTTATACCTACGAAAAATCATCGAACATCTACATCAGGATACGAAAATTCTCCAATTTGCTGACGACATTGTGATATATTCTACTAACAAAGACCCTAACCTAGCGCTGAATTCTCTGCAGACCTCTATCGATCAAATCTGCGCATTCCTTCAAACCAAAAGACTAGAAATATCACCGAATAAGACTCAGCTACAAGTCTTCTCGCGAGCCAAGATTCCCCATATCTCGTTAGACAGAGGTATTCTCATCGACGGGGTTACGGTCATCCAATCTGAACGAGTTCGATTCCTGGGGGTCATTTTGGACCCTAAGCTCAACGAAGCGGCTCACCTAGAGCATGCAAGCAATAAATCAAACAAATTTGGCCAGATTATCGCCGCCCTTAGAGGTGTCTGGCGGGATTCCCACCCCCAGCTTCTTCTCAACATTTACCAATCCTTTCAAAGAAGTGTTATGGAATACGCCTGTCCCATCTTCGGACTTAAGAACTCTCCCGGGCGTCAGAAACTAGTAAAAATCCAAAACCGCTCTATGCGTGCGTGCATGGGGCTCCGCATCTCTACTCCAATTAACATCTTACACGCCGAGGCGCGGGAGTCTCCTCTGAAATTTCGCTTTCTCCACCTAATCAGGAAGTATGTATACAAAATCATGTCCATCATAGATCACCCAGTTGTTGAAGAATTGGAAAACCTAATTAACTCTGCGAATACCCCAGCCAAACGCAGTTACATCTTCAGCAACCACCCGCTCGCCGCGGTATACAGAAAATTACTCCACCATAAGAGCAAGATACACAAGACCTACATGCTACCCAAATTCAGTCACTCTTATTCCTCTACCCTTGTCGCCCCCGAAATCTTTTATTCATAGGACGAGTTCCGGCAACTCGCGAAATCTCTTCCCTCAACGCAGGTATGTACAAACACTCTTTGAAGAAACTTTTAGCAGCGTTATTAATGCTGCTACGGTCTTTTATACCGATGGATCGAGAGTGGATCAGGGCACCTATGTGGGCTCTGCCGGCCACTCCCCTCAACTAAACTTTGAATTTAAAGATCAATTGCCCTCCGATGACACTTCGATATTCTCTGCTGAGGCGTGAGCAATCTTTAGAGTTCTCAAACTGCTGTCATATTCAGACGTTAAAGACGCAGTTATTGTCACAGACGCAAAGAGCGTGCTCCAAGCGTTGCAGGGTGCGAGCCCATGTAAATACAATTATCTCATCCCGCTTATTAGGGCGGAGCTAGAAAATGTCTCCGCGAAGAGTATCAATGTCCGATTCGTCTGGGTTCCCTCACATTGCGGTGTCAGCGGCAACGAGAGGGCGGATGCGTTAGCGAAATGTGCCATCGGAGAGGGCGAGCGCGTCAACTTCGGGATTTCTTTCTCTGATCTCTTCGCAAGGTCGAGGAAACAGAGATAGATTTTGAACAGTATCTAGACTTTTGGTCCAACATTAAGGGGATACAGTACTTCCAGAAAATCTACGCCAGACAGAAAAGATCATGGTTCTATCGCAGCACGCTAAGTAGACGAGCCATCGTGACTATATCCAGAATTCGTTCGAACCACTACAATCTCAACCACAGCCTTTTTAGAAAAGGCCTAATTGATAACCCTTCGTGCCCTTGTGGGCACAACCAACAAGACATTAATCATATTATTTTCGATTGCCCAGAAACTAACTCTAAGGCTAGCCGTCTTAGAACGACCATTACGAGCGCTTCCCCAGGCTCAAATCCCCCCTCTCAAAGTATATTCGATGTGCTCGGCAACGTGATTCCACGCATTTGTAACCTTGTCGTAGCGTTCTCTAAAGCATGCAACATATTTATTTGAATCGCCCGTTCCGTGCCCGGAGGCGCGGCGCCTCTTGTCGTCCCCCCTTCTTTCTCCCCCCCTGTCCCTCCTCTCCCCCTGACGTCCTCGCTCCCATGGTGGAAGGGATAGCATGGTGTGTGCAGTTCGGCTAAACCACGCCCACTTTTGCTCGGCGATGTCGACGAGGATGAAAAAGTACCAACTGAGAAAAGTAAAATGATTTAGCGTTGGCAAGTTTGTCGCACTGAGTCTATTGTCCTTATTTCACGCGTTTTCGTAGATCGGAATCTCTCTTTCTATCGTCTTTCTATCGAAAGAGGTTACGGACTCTCAGTGATAGAAGTGACAGCATCGT